ACTTTATTTATAGTTTGGCTTACCTATTATTGCTTTTGGTAATCTGTTTTGGTTTAGAATAGAAAAATTGAAATTAAAAAATCGGTTTATTTAACAACTGGTTCTTATTTTTCTTTGTAAAATTAGTTAATACTTCATACAGCTGGTATTAGATTGGAAAGCTATTAAATGCCTAAATAAAATTGACATTTGTTAAAAAAAATACATTGTAAAGTTCTTCTACGTTTTCAATCATTAAGTATTATGAAGTAGGTACTGTATAATAATAATTAATAATTATAATAAAGTATTATTATTATTTAATAAATTTAAAGAATATCAAGATTATCGTGGTAATTTAGTAGATCGCGCCACGGGGCAGTGAGTTTTTCATATTTTTGATAAGAAACTCTACCGCCGAAATATCAGACCTCGTCGCTTAACCATTCTATCTTAAACCGTGGTTAGGATTAATAACATATTAGTTAGGTACCTCATATATTCATATGTTTTCAACATTGTATCATATAGAGTCGTGTACACGAAGAAGTTGAACTAGTTCCAACTTCATGGTATCCTGGTTAATTTTCTATTTGTGTGTATACGGGTCGTGTGAATGTGTGCAGAGTAAGTGATCATAAGTGTGAGTGACTGTGTATAAAATAAATAGCGAAGCGCACTTGCATCATAGATAATATTATAACAAATAATAATAGATAGGACATATGAACTTATCACAAGAAAATTTAGTGATACATTTTTAATGTTAAATGAGGCAAATATTGATATATAATTATTAATGATTAATGATTAATTAGTAATAATTAACGATCTATAATATTCTATATTCTAATTACAATTAATTAGGTATACAAAGTTTAGAGTAATTTGAGTATTCCAACTTCCATTTTCCAGGCAGAACAATAAAAATACAAATTTGAAATTGACAAATATTGTAAACAGTTTTTAACATTAAAAAAATCCCCATATCGTCTTTTTCTCCTTACTTTCTTAAAGATGTTTTTTGGGTTCTTTCCAAAAAAGCACACGGCCCCATATGAAACAGGTATAGGCGTGTACTATCCATTCTTATATTATCTATGACCAGCATGTGCACTCTCATGTCAATAACGCAGCACTTTACACACTAATTACAAATGTGATTATGTGAATTTTAGTGAAACACTGAAACTTAGTTTCGTATTTCTAAATATTATATAGCTTATTGAGTGACATTACATTATGAACACCTATTATAGAAATTGAAGAGAATAAATGTATCTAAGCTTGTATAGGAGTCGATTATAGATATTTTATATTCAATGTCCAATATTTAGCTCTAAAACTTTTGATATTTCTCTTTTTAAATTTGAACTATTGAGTTTAGTAATTAAAATATCGAAAATTGACTTTTTTACAGGCATAGATATTAACTTCTCTTCTACAATATTGATAATAGGTATATTTACTCTCAAACAGCTCAAAAAACCATAGTATTGGAAATACAAAAATACATTTCTATAGAATTTATCAATACTATTCATAGGCACCCATTAAGTGTAGTCTCAATTATATTATATTATTTTCAAAGATAAGTTCAACGAACGTGTTATCTTATTGAGTTTAAATTCGTACCTGAAGTTGCATTACCTATTTATAAAACATAAAATACCAACATGTCACTGGTTAACATTAGTCCGAATTACTTTATATTAATAACTTTAATAATTATTACGTTTATACCTACATTTTAACAGCAACGAAAAAACGTAAGTAAACTAATTGTTTATATAAATTATATTTCATAATACTAATCATTTAATAACGATTTACGTTTATACATTTACAGTTATAAAAAGTAAGCTCTTTCGCTTAATTTATAATAAAACATAATTCAATCAAATACGTAAACAGTAAAATTTCCTTATAACGAACATCCTGTAATAGAAGGAAATCTCCTATCACAGGAAATAACAACTGTCCCGCATTTAATAAATGTATTATTTAATACTACGAATGTTACTGTAAATATAGTTCAATTATACACTTCTAAACAAGCAAACATTTATTCAATTTAAAATTTGTTTATCCTTCAGAATGTACAACATCGATATTAGAATATAAACATGGTAACTATTTTTTTAACCTAATCAGTAAACTAATTATAACGATATTATATTAAGACAATTAATGGTCAAGTACATATAAATAACATTATACAGTCATAAAAACAGAACCAGGGACTGGAACCGTACTGAAATTGACCGGTTTTAAACCAAAACCTTTTGAAAATCTTGGGACCGGAACCCTTAAATACATTTTTTTAGGAACCAAAACTTTTGATGTAGAGGTTTTTATGGTTTTTTCGGTTTATTTCGGTTCCGAAATCCAATAGATATATTATTAGGTATCTATGGTGTAAGTAGGTAATAACTAATTATTAGTTAAGGTCCCCACACACTGCAGCGGTGGCGGTGAATTGCTGTAGGACACATTTCACCGCTCACCGCGGCGGTGAAGCCAAGACAATAGAATTTAACGCCACCGCCACCGCTGCAGTGTGTGGGGACCTTTATAATAAATAATTATAAAATTGTAGATCTATAAAAGTTTATCAATGCTAAGAAATAAGAATATTATTATATGTACAACAGAATTGTCATAAAGAAATATCAAAAATCCAAATTCTAACTTACATGTAATCGATATCAATATTATTATTGAAACACAATTCGCAATAGCTGATGTAGAATTTCTGAAAATAATAGCAATTTGAAAGTTTATAAGTGTTTCAGAATTGAGAGTAAGTTGTCATATAAACTATAAATTATAATTGTTACCTTATTAATATGCCTGGATTGATAATATTAAATACCTAAACCTAATATTCGAGTATCTTTAACTCTTTACTCTATACTATGCTCTGTACGACATTTCGACTACTGAACTGTTCTTCAGTCTTCGTTACCGCAGTATATATTGTTTAAATTTATACTTTTATATATCAGTTATAAATTATTATATCAAACTAAACATGGTTGCCCAAGTGTGTCAAAAATTCGTTCTTATTCTTTTTTTAATCATAATCTTTTATTTATTTATCGTAATTTATTATTTTTAATAATTAATTTTTATAAAATTTCCTTAATTCTGAAATAGTTACACTTAATTACAAACACCTGTCTCTAAATAGAGGTTATTAATATGTTCATATTTTATATAGTATTTTATTGATAAAAAAAAATGTCAACTAATAAAGGTCAAAATACCTAAACCGAAACCGAAATTTGATATTTCTAAACCCGAAACTAGAACCGAAACCGAAATTTTGGGTTTTTGAGAACCCAGACTGATAAAATCATAAAGGTTCCAGTCCCTGAACAGAACCATTGTCAAATTAAGTTTAACATATTATTTTGTGAATTAATTATTAAAGAACAGATGAACATTCAAAATATCTATGTTCAATAGAGTTTAAATTAACTACCAAATTAAATACGATTTTTGGAAAAACTGACATAGACACTGATTAAATGGTATTTATTGTATTATAACCCATCTCCCATAACTTTAACAGTAAAGTCTAGAGGTAAATTAATATTATCAACACTAACATATAGAAGTGCACCACTCAATCTTCTTTTTTATATACTGATCCAAATATTTTTAATAGCCTATGTTATAAAATAGTACGTAATTATGCAAAATTATACTATTTTCAAACTAAATTTAACAAAATTCGCCACAATAACAAGCTGCTGATAATTCCCTGAAATTTTAATTTTTAGATCAACAATATTCTGTCCTCTTATATTTTTATTTATTAATTAGTTTTAAAAATTAAATTCATTAATGTATTTAACAAACCTTTTAACGACTAAAATTAATGAAAACTCATGGGTCCCCACGAGAGCTTGCTCAGTGGGACCCATTTACATTGTGTGCTATATTATATACAATGTATAATAATATGTTGCATTTGTACCAAATATGATATTAATTATAATTGTGTTTTATTAACATGCAATTGTTTTAATTATAATTTTTTAAGAAATTAACGATAAACAGTTTAAGTATGATGGTAAGTATTTATATAATAATTATTAGACAAAAATAAACCATAATCTAGTTATAATAATTCTCTAAGTCATTACAAACCAGCACAAAAAGTTTTAAATTGTCGTATACATTGCATACTAACAACTTTTCTGAGCGAAGACATATAGAGATTACTAGGTATATAAGACTATATGATATATATAATATATGGGCTGGTCTGTCATAAGTAAAATACTATATTTGATGGTTTATTTAAATTGCTCTTATTTCTTAAAGTAATTTATTTTACAACTGTCAATTAGTGATATTATGGTAGATGGAATTATTTTTTGAAGAAAACATTGCATTTCAAAATTTCATATTGTGTATAAAATAAAATATAATATGCCTTCATAAAAGTTTAAAAATCCTTATTATATTATTCGATTAATTACCTAATTTTGTCCAAATTACAAATTTAAATGTCTATAAAGAAAAATATTAATTAATATAGTTTTTAGATTTTTTGGTCCTAGTAAACCTATAGTATCCTAAAAACTTATGAGAAATATTGCATTAAATTATCAAGCCTTAGCTATCATAGCCTTAGCTATGAAAATCGAACATTTTATTCACTTTTAATTACAGACAATTATTTTAATTTACATGATTTTGATAAATTTTTTCAAAATTAGAACTTAAAATGCTTATAAAATAAATATGCATATTTATATATCTTTAATGTTTTAAATATACATTATAACAACTTATTAAGAGCCTTGTATTATATTTTAAATCTTGTTGACAGAGTAAAAATTTTTTTATGAAAGGTTTAGAACAGGGGTGTCCAACCCGCGGCCCGCAATAGATTTTGATGCGGCCCTCACTTCAATTTTAAAACAATGAATTAATTATACATAATATATTAATATTAAGAGAACAAATTTATTTTAAAAATATAAACCAACCATCAAATAACGCTTATGGATTTAGCTTTTTTAGTTGACATAACTACTCATTTAAATGAGTTAAACGTACGTCTTCAAGGTAAAAATCAACTCATTAGTAATATGTTTCAAATAATAACTGCCTTTGAACTGAAACTTAAATTATGGCAAAGTCAAGTTAAGGTGAATAATTTTATGTATTTCCCTGTGTTGGCCGAATACAATCCCAAGAATAACGAGGAATATGCTTCTTTGATTTTAGTTTTAATTAATGAATTTGAAACCCGTTTTCAAGATTTTCGTAAGAATAGTCAACTCTTAGCTATTTTTGCAACACCATTTTCGGTTGATATTACTGCTGTGGAAAATAAATTTCAAGTGGAATGCATTGAGTTGCAATCATCTGATAGGTATTCAACTCAAAGAAAAATTCAAACAGTCATCTTTATTAGATTTTTATAAATTATATCTACCCAAAGAAACATATCCAGTCCTTCATGACCATGCCTTATTCATGTTCTCGCTTTTCGGCAGTACTTACATTTGCGAACAATTGTTTTCAAGAATGAAAAACATAAAGAGTAAGAATCGGTCCACTATATCAGACAAGCACCTTGAAAGTTGTTTAAGGATTTCCACAACTTCAATCGATCCAGATATTGATTCATTACTTTCAGAAAAAAAGCAATTTCAAATTTCACATTAAAAAAAAACTAATGACTTTTAACTTTTTAAACTAAAACTTTTTTTATTATAAATAAATATATTTTTCTGTGTACTTATAATTGAATTATTAAATATTAATAATTTTAAAAATATTTCTGCTTATTATTCGCTATTGTAAAATTATAAAAAAATGTATTGTTGTATTATAGATTATAATTTAATCATTAAATTTTAATGTATTATTATTAAAAAAAAGTATGTGTGGCCCACAACAACTTCTACCTATATGATGTGGCCCAGTCTTCACAAAAGGTTGGACACCCCTGGTTTAGAATATAACTGGAGCCCAATTATTTTGAATAAACTACCATTTATATAAAATCCTGAAATAAAATCAATATTGAATCTTGTAGTTAATTTATAAATCTTGGATTTATAACGAAAATGTGTTAGGGAAAACAACGTTGTGGGTCCCAAAATATTCATGTGCATGTTGAAAGCTAAAGTTGATATGTGTTTCACTCGCACTATTGATAATTTAGTTGTACACACAACACAAATAATTTAACATTAGGGATAGTGCATAACTGATTTTATTGACATGCTGCAAATATTAAACTTTTGGTTTAAAAAAAAATTATAATGGTTACTTCCGTTACAAAATCTTGAGAAATGTTTGTGAACAATTCCTAATTTGCAATGACGTTATAGTAAAATACGGAAATTTGTAGGTATATTGGAACAAGTTTAATGGGATAGTGAAAACTGGAAACAATCCAATATTTAAAATAAATAACCACTACAACTCATCTTTTATACCTACAATTTAATGTCTGATAGGGTGTAGAAATCATAAATTAACTTAAAGTCGAAATGAAAATTAGAATAAAACGAGTAGGTACCTAATGACTGTGTGAGGATAAAAAAATATATTTTATGTATTTATTAGAAAACAATCAATACAAATGTCTCTTGGCAACATATGATATGGGTAAGAAAATAATTAAATATTATGTACAAAGCATTAATACTAATGAAAAAACTTTTATTCTATTGTTTTTACTTTTTAAGTTTTGGTTATAACTTAATATTTTTTGAAGTATTTGGAAATCATAACACTTTCAATCATTTCACTTTAATTTTCGCAAAAAAATAAATACAGAAAATGAGATTTTTAATAAATCATAAAACTGTAGGTACCCAGTACTACCCACATTAAAATATAACTCTGGGTACTTTTTACAACTTCGTGGTTTTTTAATATTAGATTTAATTCTAGATCTATTATAGTATACCTACTTTAAAGCAGTACTAACTGCTATTGTGCTTTTATTTTTAAGAATCATTTAGCTTAAGCAAAAACCAGACATACCTAATATATATATATTATATAATGATGATTAACAATTTTATATTTTCTTCTTTAGCTGTGTTAAATAATCCTAATGAAGGTAAAAATATCTATAGACTCGATCATGTTTTAGAAAGTGGCTATTTCAGTGTCCAGTGCGTATCTATACGAGATATCTTATAGCGTCATATAATGCTGTGATTTGCCAATTGGTCCAAATATTGAATAACAAACTGTAATCTTATGACTGCTAATAGTATTACTGCCTTCATTAAAAATGTGATTATAAATTTAAGATGGGGTAAGTTCAGCTCTCAAATGACACCCTTCTAATATTTACAGTTTTTACAATTTGTGTGCGATAAATAATAGTTGAAGACCAATTTCAGAACAGCTGAAATGCTTACATCAGTAAATCACACTCAAGATGTCAAACGTCCACCTCAGCAAATACAATTATAATTATTGCGAATCGTTAATATTGGTAATTGATATCTGATCGTTACTATATAACCATTTACTTAGAAATACCTTGATTATTTGCGTGAGTATGTAAAATATTAAAATTTTTAAATACTTATACATCACGTTGAAATCGAAATATTTTCAAAAAAAGTTAACAAAAAGTCAAAAAAGTGCAAACACGGTAGGTACCTAATCCTCCTAGATTAGTTTTATAAGAGATTTCTTCACTCTAATATTAAACTCAGCATAAAAACTGGTGCTTCTGAGTTCTGACAAAAATTTGCAATGCTGTACGTTGGTCGGGGAAAGAAAAGAAATAGTGTTAGACTGTAAAAAAAAAAATCAATATCTTTTGCATTAATACTCTGTAAACTGGTTAAGAAATAACAATAATAACTAGAAATATTCAAGTTTATATCAATTACATATTTATATTTAAGCGTAATATTTTCTTTATTACCAACATATATTTATCAATATTTACATATCCATCAATCAACCATATTATGTTTAGCTTTTATAATTTGCATTGCTACAGTCCACATTCGACACCAAAACAGTCATCTACGGTTCTCAGCGTTATGCTGACATTCCAGACATTTTAAAATTGATCGGTACCAACATTTACACCAGGCTATAAACAATTTTAATGAGAGTCAAATTAAATAGAATAACACCCAAATTAAATTTTAATTTTAATTAAGCGTTGGTAGGTATTCAAATCAGCGGTGATAAGATTACAATTTGTAAATCAATATTTTTATTTTAAACCACAACATAGGACTCAAAAATAAATAGATGAAATAACCACTTAATATATTTTAAATAAATATTTTTCAATCTGAAATTATGATAAAAAATGTATTGTACAGCAATGGTTAGAATGAAAATTAAAAAAGGTGCTTGTTGCAAGTACTCGGGTATGAAGTGAAACTACTTTACTAAGGGTAGCTGAAGTGCAGACCGAATCACTGATTCAGAACGGCTCGGACGAGTCACCGTATTTGTTGCGGCAGGTCTCGTATTCTGTGACAGACTGGCCCGCGCAATCCAGTCAGGCGTCAGCCGAGTCAGGAACAGAACACGGCACCGACGCCGGGTGGTGGACAGTACCTGTCAGGCCCAGCGCGACTTGGTGGCGCAGTGGTCGAACGATGCCACCGGACACTGACCGGTGGCGGAGTTGATTCTATACTATATATATGATAGTATACAATACATTTTAAGTTAACCGTTCACGTCAGTTGTCGACGATGAACTAAATTTAAATGTGAGTAATGTGACGCTCTCGCGACTCGCTGGCAACGTGTTTGAGGACCGTGCTCGTTATGAAGCCACGCCCCCCCGCCAGCGCACGAGTCGGCCTAGCAGCAGGTATACGACGCGCATGCGCCTTATTAGCGTGTCATTCGAGCATTTCATTCTGATCAGCCGGTCATGTGACTAAATATTTTTGTCATACCCTCAGTAATGAAGTTTCACTTCAAAAATATAGTTCCAAGATAATGACATTAATTAACAAATTATATAATTATATATTGTTACAGAGAAGCCCGCATTATTCAAAAAAATTCATGGTAAATTATTTTATGCAACATTTTTCACTACCACACGTATATTATCTATTATAGGTTCTACGAATATTAGTAAAAAAAAAGAAAATTAATATACTGAATCATACTAGTTTAAGAAGTGTAATAATTGCAATAATTATTGAACTACAAATTAATTTTAGAGTGGCTTAAATCTATAGAATAGATACTATAATAAGTAGATACAACTTAATTGTGTAGCCTCATAACATACCAATCCTTGAGAATTTATTACAGTCTTTGACTTAAAAAAGACTTAGGTCTTAGGTTTTAACCAAGGTGAAAAGTTAGAAAGTGGCCTAAGAGCCGAATCGTGTAGTGTCATTGCAGGAACTTTGACAAAGGTCAGAGGTTCTACAAATAATAAAATAATACAAATAATAATATTAGCATTATAAGCGAATAGGAGTATAGAAAATAAAAAGGAAGTGTAAACTCCGTCAGGTGGCAAGGTGAGTCAAGTTACCAACGGTGGCGTCTCCTCCTACCACCCTAGAGTCATGACCAGGGTTGGGATTTTATAGTACTTAAAATTGTATAAATATGACTATAATATTACCTTAAATATCACTAAATATGCTCTAAAAATATGCAATAAAAACAACAAAAAAAAAGGAAATTTATTAATTAATAATTTTTTAATCACTTACAAATTATTATAGGTTGTTATACTTAAGATTTTAAATAATTTAGTCACTCTAATTAGAATCCAAATGAATTGACTATACAATGCATTCAACGCTCGTTCGTTGATAATTGGTGATTAATAATTGCAGTAGAAATTGACAAAAAAAAACCCAACAAAATCGGCAGATAACAAACATTAAGCCAAATACCTAATACGAAATTATAGTAATAATTCGATTGACAAAAATTTAAAAACACGTTCATTAAAATATAATTTCATAAAATATGATCGATTTTGATTCAAAAACATGTAAAAATGCAAAAAAGTCCAAAAAAATCAAAATCAAATTTTTAATTTGAGTTCTCTGTATCACGAAACACATTTTTAGCTTATTCTGCTATTTTTTAAGCATCTCATAAAAAATATACAAATTCTATAAAATCCCAACCCTGGTCATGGCAGTAGTAGTAGTAATCAGTGGCGCCCAAGATATATTTTTTCAGGTGTAGCAAGAAACAATTTTACCCACCCACCCACCCTCTCAAAACTCAAAATTATATTATTATATTATTTTATTTTGACATTTTATCATATTTGTATTGATAATATTAGTAAATATTAAGGTATCAACCAATATAATCTGTGATTAATTATGAACATATTTCAAGTTTATTATTTTTGTTATTATACCCATCCACCCCTTATTTTCAAGGTGTAACGACCGCTACACTTAGAAATAGGGTTGGGCGCCACTGGTAGTAATCGAGTAGTGTGCGGTAACTCTCTCGTGTAGTATACGCCTGTGTTAGGTACTTAGTGCTTGACCGCAATTTTGTTGGCGGTTCTTAATCCACTATATTATAATTTATATCCGTTACATAAGTAAAATTTGTTGTGAAGGTAATAAACGGTTATTCCAATAGTCATAAGTCTATTTCCTTGTTGCGTATAGAAGTTAACAGAAGAGAGTAATCGTATTATCATTATCTTACTTCCTGTATATTAAATAAAACTTTTTTAATCCGAAATTTTGACAAAATAATTTTATACCATTGCAATGATTAGAATTACCATTACAAAATATATTGTTCCTAGCTGAACATTAAATAACACATTTTATAATTATGTATTGTTGTAGATAAGACCAAAGAAAGGGAATCGAAAGGTATAATATTATTTTATTTAACATTTAATAATTATTTACTTACATGAAATGTATATTTTAAAATTATTGTTGTACGCAGAACCTGGATACCGGGTCTAGTTGTAGTACTTTTACTATATTTGGTAGCAGTATCTAATATTCACAATTGGTTTTTTCTTATACCAAATACCAATAGATAGACAATGTTGTCTTGTTTCATAATATGCATTAAGAGGATGCTACCCATGCATTTGTTGTCTCTGTCTTGCACACGTACGACATAGCAAATTTTCGTTCATTAGTTTCAATAGAGTGCTGTTAGTTTTAATATTAGAGTGATTTGACCTATTATAAATTGTTTAGATAATAACATTATCTGTGCTTATGCGTTGGCTTTTATTCGAAATTTTAATTTTCAAGCGATATATGAGCATTATTAATTTTTGATATTTGACATACCCATATCTTGCTTCAAAATGAAAATTTCGAAAAATCAGCAACTCTTAAGCACAAATAATGTTCTTACCTAAAAGTTTTATAATGGGTCAATTCGCTCTAGTATCAAAACTAACAGTACACTATTGAAACTAGTGAACGACAATTTGCTATGTCGTGCGTGTGTAAGACGGAGATAGCAAATATATGGGTAGCGTCCTCTTAAAGTCCATTAGTAATAAACACATCAATTGATGTGAAGTTCAATATCATATTATTTTTTTGTTACATTTAAGTATTTAACCCCAATACTGGGGTGAGTTGTAACATATTGCGGCCTTGTGGGATAAGTTGTAACACCCAAATATATTGCTTCATTTTTATATTCTTAGAAAACCAGTACAATATTTTAAAACAAAACAGTTCTATGAGAATTATCATAATACTATTTATTGTTTAAAACTAAATAGTCCTCTGTGTTTAATTAATTCTATTGTGAATCCTCTATTAATTTTTCTTATATAGTCTACTGCCTAGGCATATTGAAGGCTCTATACAAGCATAAAATATGTATAATAATAAATAAATATTTTAGCTAAATACTATTCAAGTATGATGTAATTACAATGTGAATTTAAATACTATGATAAAAAGATGTTTTTCAACTAGCCCCAAATAGTTCGTTACAACATTGTACCCCAATTTTACTTTTTTAAATTGTATTGCTATTAAAAAAGCGGTATTATACTTAGACTAATGAGCGTTGTTTCATATTAATTATCACAACATTTAAATGTATGGATAACTGCAATTTATTAGCAAGTTTTAAAACCGTAATAACAAACTGAATTAAATCTTTATTAATTAATTCCTAATTGAAATTAAATCTCCCAACATTATCCTAAAACTTTCCTTGGAAGAACTAAACACATCGGGCTAGTGTTGCATAGAAATATTTTCTCTCTTCAGTTGGCGCAAGTGCATTAATTAATACAGTACCAAAATTATCTGTTTTTAGAGTTAATGTAGAGAACCCTGGGTTAATATCTTTGACATTTTTTACTGCACGGATGATTGACTCATGTACAGCGAAGCCAGTTCCAAAACTATGGTCATGTTCGCACTTACCATTAAATATGGGTGTTTGTGTTGTCTTAGTTGTCCCTAGATCTTCCCATCAAAGTTCTTGTAAGGCTACGTACTTCATTCTATATTTATCCACTTCCCTTTTGCAAATCAAATACCTCTAAAGGTTTGCATGGAGTTCATACGTTCCATATACCTACCACATATTAATAATTCAATTTTCTGAATTCTAGTAAATTTCCCTTTATCTCTAGTCCGAGGCTTGGTGTCCTGAAAATATGACTTTTATAAGGCAAGGCTTTTACCCCTGCGCTTAACCCCAAACTCAGGATACCAGACTACCCCAACCAATGAAGGTCAAGGTAGGGCTATTGCAATGCACCCTAAGTACGTTGGGAGATTTGAACGCCAATTTCCCTATGCCAGGTTTGAAAATGAGAACATTTGTTAAGTACAGGAGGGTGATCGAAAAAACGATTCTAAAGCACCCTCTCACATAGTTGTTGATACCACGCTTAAATAGAAACCATATAAATTATGCTAATTACATGCTAAATATAAGTATAGTCCAAAATAAGTTTTTGATTCCAATTTGGTGTAGGGGGGCTGGATACATATAGTCAACACAGAACAACAATTTAGAATTAAACAACAAATAAAACCTAATCTTTAATAGTTTCACTAAGAAAATTAATATAATTAATAGGTACATAATGCATTATTTCATTGTTATTTTAGGATATGTACATGACTACTACATGTATAACATCGAAATTTTTAAAATATTGTATGACAGTACGTATTTTAGTGATCTTTAATAAATAATAATATTATTTTTTTTGTATTCATTTTAATCATAAAAACATGATACTGTGTGCGTGGAAACTTGACATAAATTGTCTTATTTTCTGAAAATATACTCGGAATAATTTGAGCTGAAGAAGTAATAAACAAGTATTATGAATAAATTTAAATTTTGATAGGCAGATCTAACAGTAATAATGAACTGTATAGCAATTGATATACTACCTGCAATCCTTATTAACACGTATGAAGCAATGCAATAACAAAAGATATAAATGTGTCACCTACCTTGCTAAAGACAATGAGAATTAAATGTTAATATACTTATAAACTTATAATACTTATACTAACATATAAGTCGGTGCTCTAGTGAACGTCTACAAACAACTGTACACACAACACAGAACCACAAAAAACAAATGATAGAAAAGAATCTATCAGATTATGTAAACAAATAAGCTAATGACCATAATATTTAATACATAATTTTTTTTAAATTTGTGAAAACTAAAGGGATTCTGAATCACAAGAAATCGTACATTTCTCAAATATAAGGAGAAAGAAATCAGAATAACAAATATTGTTTTGGAAACTTTGATAAATAAACTCTGATAAATATGGAGCTTAAATAAAAAATGATGACTTTCACTTGGTAAAAGTATTAAAGACAGATACTGAGAACCATAATAGCAACGAGCGCCGATCACAATGATTGCGGTCGATGTGAACCACTTGCATATATAGTTGCATGCAACGAATGTTTAAAAGATAATTTTAGCAATAGTAAAATGTTTTAATTCCCCCCCCCCCTCCAACACACACACACACACACACACACACACACACACACACACACAAGACGTTGTGACACTCCGCCAAGCCTTTAATACGGGATCGGATCACGATATCAGTCAGTTCAATTAATTTTTGTAGATCTCTAGGATATAGTTTTCAAGTACTTAAATTGATTGGTTACTTTTTAAAGTTATCACAGTAGTTCGTAGAACCACGAGTGTATAACTGATTCATGACAAATTAAATAGGTATGTCAGCAACTCGTGATACGCATGTCTATCACGTAAGCATTTCTCCAACTGGTTGAGCGGTGGAGTGGTAGTGGAGTCTACATGTGGCAGCGACAGCTATGGACCAATGAAAAATAGAGAAATATGCTTACGTCACAGAATAAGGCTGGGTGGAGGGCGGATGCGCGATTTGTTTCAAAACTGGTGTATAGCTGACATACCTATTTAATTTGTCATGAATCAGTTATACACTCGTGGTTCTACGAACTACTGTGATAACATTAAAAAGTAACCAATCAATTTCAGTACTTGAAAACCATATCCTAGAGATCTACAAAAATTATGATTTGAAACCCTACACAGTCTTAGCCCCGGTAAAAAACAAGAATATATTTTATTTCTCATAAGTATTGTCATGTGCATGAGTGTGCGAGTATTGCGATTTACAGTGATTCTCGGAAACACACTAATGTTAATTTACTAATTACTACTCACACATAGACATAGCCCAAATGTTTATGTCATGGTAATTGCCTAAACATTACTATTTATAACATGATCCGCAGGAGCTTTATTTTGGTTTATTTAATTATTATTCACTTACAACTCCAGACAATGAGTCATCTATATGCAACAATATAGTTTATTGAAATAAGGTTTATATTTGTCTTAATAATAAACCCTTATGTTGAAAAACTACCAAGTACTTATCTAAAATTGAGAATCAGTCTTATTTTATAGTGTAGAACAATCAAAAACTTGAAAATAATATTTAGGTACCTAATAGTTATAAAATATCTAATATTCACTAAGCCCTTCTTATTGCCCTATGCCCCTATAGGTACTTATATCTAGCACCTAATATAACTCTATAGGTAGGTACTATACTATATTTATATCGTTGACTCCTAAAACCTGACACTTGCGGTAAAATGCAGGATAAAACCGCATTCTTTTAGTAGGTTAAAACTACTCAATTTTTTTAATTATTGTTTTCAATAACCGCATACTTATGATTTTGATCCCAAAAAAGTCTTTACTATAATAATTTATAATATATAGGCATATGTAAATGTTTAAATTATAATTTATTCAAACCAAAAAATATAAATAATCAAAATTAAAAATGTAAACAAGTGCTATTATTAATAAATAAATTTTAATTAAAAGTAAAAATTTTTACTATTAGGTATTTACCAACTTGTTTTTATTTTTCAATTGGGCGGACAATATTTTACACTCCCTTATGGGCCGTTTTAACCACTATATATGTACACAAGACCGACTAATAACGAGTGGCCACTAAAGACGTGACTAAATACTTGTCTAAAAGACTTAAAACGTGTTAGCATATTTGATTGTATAGTATTCGAATTTAAACTTATTTGGTTTTTTGAATACTTTCAAAGTATATGACTTTTATACTACATATTTTTTTCAACCCCTCTCTCTCCATTAAATATTCATGAGAATGCCTCTGACCTCCACTGTAATATTTTGTTCCGCTATTCAATTTTATAAAAGGACTAAATTATTCACTAAACGAAACAATAAGTCCACCGAGAGGAACAAAATATCTGTGTGGAACAAAAATATATCTGTGTGGAACAAAATATCCCTAAAGGACATTTTGTTCCGTTTTAAGATTTTTTGTTCTGCGATTAATTATTTTTAAAAAGGAACAAAATGTCCCTAAAAAGGAACAAAATATAACCTTACCTTACGAACTACCTATGTTACACACAGATTAACTATATTTACTGCACATAAAATATTATGGAGTAAAACAAATAATTATCCTCCATTAACCCACGTGAAAATCACGGTTTGACTTGACGATAGCGGTTATTGTTAATAACTGACTTTTTTGTGCTTTATCGCAAGTTCCTCAGTTGTTTTATTGTTTTAGTTATTATTTATTTAGTTACCTAGTTGCTTTTACTTGGTTTGTGCCCATATTGCTCGTCACAACAGTCCACCTCAATGTACTATGATTTTATTTAATACATATCCCACAGACACACAGCTAAATATTTATAAATTTATATTGTATTAATTACTATTAAACTTTCTAAAAACGATAAAAACAATAACATTATGTAATATGGGTTTCTATTGTTTTTATAGCCTATGGATGGTTCACTCCTTCTAAATTGTGCGAAAATTTTTTTTCCAATGAAAAAACAGAGGCTGAAATTAAGGTTGAAACTGAATAAGGAGGAAACAAGTAGTACTTTTTCTTTTAATACTAGTTTATTATCTAATGTGTGCTAACCCTTTACTTTAATATTACATCTTGTAATTTACAAGTGTAATTCGTCACTTTTAAATTATTTATATATTTATTTACTTGGTGTCTTTAATTTTTAGTTTAATTAAATTGTTTCAATTTTTTTTAAATTAATAAATACTTTGTATGTACCTAAGTATTTGAAATATATCATAATCATTGATGTTATATCATTACTCATTACAAATTATAAATAAATTTGAAATGAATATTTAAATACAATTTATGATTTTACAATAATGTATAAAATACTAACAAATATAAAGAAAGAAAAATGTATTATACTATACTACACGCAGTATTATAATATACTCGCTTGTCTATTTTCCCTATCTCATCCACTCAGTTATTATATTTCGAGCCCGAAATAGGAAATCCAGGTGCATTACGTTTAAGTTACAATTCACACCTACCTTATCCTATCCTGGTCCGCCACATCGTATCGTGTACCGGTGAATTGACTGTATGGGAGGTATAACCCTTGGCCTTCTCGTTCACTTCCGTCGCCGTCGAAACCGCTACCGAGTCTGCCCCGTGGTGCACAATAATAAAATATTATAATATTGGTCCATGTGCAGGCACACGCGCCCGGGCGGATACTTCAAACACACAGGTGCAATGGCTTACAAAGAAAAAACCGCAGCCAACCTATCTGGTATATGTTTACCGGTGTCCCGTCATTTTGACGCTGTAATTTCGACGCGCGTCAAATGAACGCTGTAATTTGGACGAACGACAATTGGGCGCATGGGTCATTTTCGCATATGAAATTTTAAAGCCGCCACTTTTAAGAGCAAGTCAATTTTGACGCAAAACAAAAATATATATATTATATACGTATCAGTCAATGTCAACGTAAGAACCTGGTATCTGTATGGCTATATAATATCATAGTTAATCTATGTATGGTCACATATTATTATATCTAAATTACTAAATGGTAGGTATACATTTTATCATTATATTTATTACCCACAGTTTACGGAATTATACCTAGTTAGTTAATGTGTTTTATATCGCACAGCGAATCGTACGATTTTCACATAATAATAAATTTAAAAAGAATTATCCAAAAACATGCCTTTGGAATTTATAAAAAGTCAACGGGGAAAAGATCTCCTTATTTATGAGGGACTTATCCATAAAAAATATAGTGAAGGTGAAGAAAAAATTATATGGAGATGCAACAAATTAAAAAGGGTCCCGGACGCGTATTAGGAAACCCAGGACGCCACAGAGCGTCTTATGTATACCACGTTCTCATTGGCCCATTTCGAATTGCCCGCTTTTTTTTATCATTTATCAAATAATTTAATTTAATTTAATAATATAATATTAATTTAAATATTATATTATATTATTTAATTTAAACAAATTAAAATAACTATTTAGTAGGAAAAGGTACCTAACTAATATTAAACAATATTATTATGTTATTATAATTCAATAAATTAATGTAGAATGTGATCTCTACACAGTTATTTTTATTTTTTACTTTAGTAGGTTCCTATACCTACCTCAGAGTGAACATTTCTTACTGGACTAAGTGTATTGTACTTGTACACACCTTTTGTGTTAGCTAAAAAGATTGTCTAGGTTCTTCCTAACATAGAAACAAAATACCAATCTTACTTAAATGTTTTATTTTTACTAAGACATAAGATTCTTAATTAAAATAGGTAGGTACTTTACTAAAAGTTCATGCTCTAACATTAATATATATATTATATTGTATTTTTAATAAAGACATAACTATTTTTAGAGGAACGAATTGAACTAGTATTCAATGATTATTTTAATAATATATGGAATGGTAGCTACTATGAAGCTAACCAAATTAGTATCCAATTAAAGAAATATAGTTGTAACTTCACATGAATGGTGCAAAAACAATTTTGGACGTCTCGTTTGGTAGTCTAGTTCATCGATGATTGAAAAACCCTGTTATTATTTTCAATTTTATATTTGTAGGTACACTACATTACTACCTACATCAGCAGTGGTTTATAAATAATATTTTTTTACACATTTATAATTTAACTAATTCAACCTTTTTAAAATGTTATGCAAGTATTAAGTAAACAAATATTAAGGTAGGTAAAAAAAAAAAACGCGTGTGTCTCAAGCGACCCTCATAAGATGTGAAAACATATATTATATGAGCTTAGAATTTGAAGGAAATATATTTATTATTTTAAGACACGTGCTTTCATATTGTTTGTAGGGTAGGATTGAATATTTTTAAGAATCATATTTGTTCCAATTTTATTTTTCAGAACACAAAGAGATATTCATTTCAGTAATATATTTTGAATCAAATGAAGGTAGTAGTTGACTTAAGTCTGAAATCACAAATAGGAATAGAAATTATTTTATCAATAAATGAAAAAATTAAAATGTATCAAATAACTATATTAATAGAATAAAATATATACATAATAGTTAGGTTTGATACGTACATAATATATATTATATAAAAGTGACAAACAAATTGAATTTAAAAAAATATATTTATATATATAAACATGTCAAATTCATTGTAAAGAATCTCGTTTATTGCTTTCTACAATAGTTATAATTGGTTTGTGGTAGCTAAAATAAGAGATAAAATTTTTAGAGTCAATTTTATCTAAAAATCTAGAAAAAACAGCGTCTATAGTTGTTCCACCTATGGTAGTAGATTGATTTCGATGATTAACGATATTTAAATGCAACATATCTTGAAAGAATTCAATTAATGGCTGCGACGTTTCCTTATCGAAATTAATGTTAAAATCACCAGAAACAATCATAGGCAAATTATTGTAATTGTCTTGCTGTGCAGATGTACCAATAACTGAATATGGTAGCAAATTAAAACGTAAAAATCGTATGATTTCATTAACTGTGTTATTTGGTGAAATGTAAACAGCAACAATAATTATTTGCATACCATTTTCTGTTATGCATTGTGCTGTGCATAAATCACCAATATTAGATTTAGTTGCATCTTCTTGAATACTATTTTTCACTTGCAAATCAATATGTGAAGTAATTACGTGTGTTATATTATCTCGATGACTGAAAATCGCTACTCCTCCGGATCTAACATTATCACGCTTAAATTTTACGATACAATTGAATTTTGGAATATCATATCTCGAATTACAATCAATATTTGTTTTTGAAAGTATCAAAATATTACATTTTGAAGCTACAGGATCAGCTATAATATCTTGATAGTGACTACGCAGACCTTGACAATTGAAAGAGTAAATTGATAATATATTTTGTCTTGATATAAATTTAATAAGTGTGTTATCAATTGTATCCAAACGATTCAATGAAAGTCTTTTGAATTCATTCTGTAATGATTCTACTGATGCATCGTATCGTCGACTGTGATAAAATCTGCGATCGTTTGTGGCTGATACTAGATACAGACCTTCAAGTGAAGTAACTCTTGATAATGCAACGTAAACTAAAGATAAATTATGCTTTTTGTCATATTGATAAACAATTTCTTGGAAGGTTCCTCCTTGGGATTTATGGACCGTTATTGCACTTGCAGCTTTGAGTGGAAAATTTAAACGTCTTGCGACTATTGTTTTATTATTGTTTAATGTAATGGTAGCTGATTTTTTTGAAATGGGTACTGCCAATGGACTAATGTGGTGGTTAGCAGCGTGGACAGCACATTTTTTTCTTATTTGCTGTCCAGTTTTTGATGACTCGGGAAATTCTAACCAGACACGAATAAGTTCATTATTAGTATTATGTTCAATATGTACTAATTTTCCAACAGCACCATTCACCAAACCATCGGAAGTGTCAATATTGAAGCAAATCATGTAATATTTGTTCAAAGAAAAAACGATTTCGTAAGGTACACCCCCAGTATCAGCAGTCGTTAATTTATGTAGTTTTTGTCTAGAGTGTGCTTCTTGCTCGTGACCATTGGCACCAACTATAGTTTCAATAGCTGTATAAACAATTTTATTATCATCTTCATTTAAAACAGAATTGTTGTATTTGTCGACATTAATATTTTCTAAGTATAGTCTTGTTCCATTTGGACACAATCTATCTGCATCTTTTTTTGAATAGAATCTCGATTCAATCAATTGCAATTCCGAATCATCTAAAATTAAGCCACTACCTATCTTAGAAAGAATGTTTGAAAATATAACATTGTCTTGTCGCATAACTTCGGTCAGTTCGTGGAATTGTAGACTCCGCCACAAACTTGGACCTACCATTTTTTGCCTGATGGGTTTGTAAATGGGAGTAGCTCTGACGGGTGGAAGTTGCCTTAGATCACCGATAAAAATAATATCTAATCCGCCAAAATTATCGTTATAATTACCAGTGATTTGTTTTAACCAAGAGTCTATTTGAGCCAATAGTTCTGCGCCAATCATACTGATTTCGTCTATAATGATAACTTTTGTATATTTAAATAAAGTTTGATATTGTTGTAAAACTTCCGTTGGAGTGATTTTGAAAGAGATATTTTAAAGGCCGTATGAACGGTCGTTCCGTCAATAGCAACAGCTGCTTTTCCGGTTGAAGCACAAGTAATATACGCATTACAAAATCCATCGGTCTGCGTAAAACGGTTATAACATTCCATTATCAATTTTATAACGAATGTTTTTCCGCACCCTGCTGGACCTGTGAGAAAAAGCTGCAAGGGTTTTCGATTTGGAGTGGACAGATGAAAAATTACTTCAAATAAAATACTTTTTTGTGCATTATTAGTAGACCTTATTAACAACCAAAAAGCATTATTGTCCATCAGATTTTGTTTTTTTTTTACTATCGCAGAAAGTTTATTGAGCGTCGCTAAACGAATATCATCGTTGGCATCCGAATTAGGATTATTCCAAAGCTGATCGAAACGGTTCTCCTCGGGTAAGATGTTTACAAAATTTTCAACTTCTTCATCGTCACTATCATTTTCTCTGCAAAGTTGTCTACAAATATCTTTTGTTTTTTGAATGTCTAAATCCGATTCAAATTCTCGTCTTCTATGCAAAATAATATCTTCATATTGATTGTAGATACTGATATACTTTGCATCTGCCAAAATATCATCATCTTCATTCCTGAAGGCAATATGCAGCGTAACCATTTCTCGTTTGTATTCGTTCAAATCTGATATATCATAATTTCGATATCTAATTACGCGAGAAGTTTTGCGTTGCATATGTTCTTTTTTATTATTGATGTAATACTTAGAGACATATTGTGCTAATGTGATCTCATTTAAACCAATGGGTCGTTTAGAGTATTTGTCGAACCAATTCTCCTTCCAAATGTCGGTGGAATCATCGTCAAGTAACTGTAACTGCTTAGCCGTTTTTCGCACTCTTTCACGGTCTTGTGGCCATATTGTCGGTATGTAAGCAACAACTACAGAACTTTTTGACATTGGCTGACGTAATAAAAACCATGCAACTTCCTGACTAGTCATTTCAACATTGTTGATAGTATCGACGCTGATTTTCCTCGTTATTTCCACAATGTCGAATTCCGGATGCTCATTCATGGTTTCAATGATTCGTCTCTGCAGATTACTAATACCTCTGTTAGTCTTATTTACGTAGTCGACTACGTATTGTGCACAAGAATATTCTTCTGTAATCAGTTGAATATCCATGTTTGACCGAACAGTACTCAAAATAAAAGGATTAAATTGGTTGTGCCACTTTTCCGCTGGTGTTCGTTTAATAAAAGGCTTAGGTCTTTTGATGCCTGCTCGAAGAATGTTAAAGTAATCGTCATCTGAACTTATATAATTTTTTGCATAAAAATCTTCGATGTCTGTGTAATCATTATTTTCTAAGTTGATTCTAATTTCTCTGTACCGTTTAGAATAGTTAGTAAAGCCTACATCTGTTTTTTGCATTGGTATCAGTATGACAGTCTTACGTGACGGCATGAATGGAGCTTCAAATCGACACTGTTGATTTTTGTTTGATATAATTTTTTTATAACATGTAAATGTATGCTTGTGTGTTTGGAGTTTGATATTATTTGAAGCTGCATTTTCTGAGATGGAAAATAAAGCATCAATTAATTCAATTGCTTTATCATAGTCAGTATTAAGCGGATTTTGAGGAGCATTATCGAGATAAAGCAATATGTGGGCATGAGGACTTCCTCGATGCTGGAATTCAATTCTTAAAAAATAGTCAATAACGGCAAATTTACCGAAAGGACTAAATTGTTTTGATTTTAGTATATTTAGCATTACAGATACAAGTTTATAAAAATAAACAGCACATGTTACTGCATCTTCATTGATGAGAGTACTTACATCAATGAAGTGCATCAAGTCTAAATCTTTATCTGATATTTCGATTCCATTATTTTTAAACTTGTATAAAAGTTTCAGTAAGTTACGCCAACCAATCTCATTAGCGCTAAGAGTTAAAAAAAGCGTGGGCTTACCCTTTTGCCTGATAATTGAAAACAGATCTTTTTTACGGGATGACCAATACCACGCAGAATTGGGGATAGCTTTAAGAAAAGCCAGGTTAGTTTCTAAACAATCGTGTATATATTCTGTCGACTCAATCTGTTGTCGCGTAACATAATTATTTTTTCCAGTATGTTTAAATGCTACCGTTAATGAATCGCGAACCCTAATTCGAAGAATTTTCATGGCTAAATAAAGCAAATGTTGTGGAGTTACACCTCGTCGATCTTTTCTCCGAAGTTCGCTAGTAGCCATTTGGAATGGAGTAATGGTAAGCCCTTCTGAAAACTTTCGAAATTGGCCTAAGAAAATAGTTGGAAAAGACAACTCTTCGGCATGTTCATCAAAAAGTAAACTGAGAGGATGATTATTTTCTCCTGGAGCTATCCGCAAATATTTTTCATCGTTCCACAAAAGAGTCTGTTGTTGAGCAGTTACACTATCTTCAAGAGGAACGTCTTCTGAAAGTTCATTGATAAGATCATTTTTAAAAAGTTCTTGAAGTTCGAGTTGTGTTTGTTTAAATAATAAATTATCGTTGAAAAATGAATCATCAATTGTGATATTATAAAATTTATAGAGTGGCGTAGTTATAAGGTATTTTAACCACAATTTAATATGATTTTTGTTTACTAAACCTTGGACAAAACTCGACTTGTGAATTTTTTTTCTCTTAATGTGTACGTAAACTGAATGATCCTCCTCAATATTTCTGGGCAATCTATTTACCATAGTATTAACTGTCACTGGGACATTGATAACTTGTCCATATATACCGTATTGTCCATGTACATGCCTTAATCTTCTTATTGTCATGAACGGTATTCGAGGTGAAATGAGTCTCTCAGTTAAAAAATCTATATTTGGTAAATATTCCGGTATAGGAGGATATTTGAAACCATTAAATGTAGCCATGATAGGTATTTTTTGCTTATTTAGAGCATTTTTACAAGTTGCACAAATGACTATATCATTGATATTTGTAAAATCCTGGAAATGGAATTTTTTAATAATAAATAATGTAATTATGCAATGATAGTACATACTTTATAATAATAAGTATAACATGAGTAACATAATAATATTAATAGGGGGACGAGGTGGCCGAGCGGTCGGACACGTCGTCTGCGGCGCTGGCGGACGCGGGTTCGATCCTCTCGACCACTGGGCGGTATTTTTCTCCGGGCAAGTCACGGTGTCCGGAGAACAAGTGCCGCCATCCCCCACTCCGGGGCATGGCAGAAACCTACGGGTGCCCCATTCAAAATTCTGCCAAACCCAACACACACGTGTTCCTCCCCCTACCGACATAACAACACACAAAAATAAACCACTAACACCCAATGGCCTAAGTTGCCGCGGGTTATCCAATAAAAAAAAAAAATAATAATAATATTAATAATTTTAATTTAATTAATACAGAACAAAACAGGTGGCGAAGAGCTGACGATGGTACATTGCATGAAATAAGTGAGGCAAACTTACACTAACTTAGTACAAACGAGAATGGAGGACACGATAAACGGTTTCAGAATAGTACTAGCGAACCAGGAGTGAGATAACGGTGGAAGAGGAGGGGATGTTTAAAAACCTTTTAAACTCTATAATATACATATTACTGGTCTATCTTGTCAATAGAACCACAACAACACAGGAACCACCTGACAAATTTCTTTGTCTGGCGCCAAAATGAACGACGAGGACGTCTGTGTCTCGGACTTTCCGGTTTCCGTACATCGCTGGTGACCTGCTGAAACTTTAGATTTGGCGTTGATCTCCACCCAATATCTGCAGCTGTCTCGCCAGCTAATTTTGGATGTACGGGGATGTTTGGCTCAGATACACAGAGTATGCCATCCAGAAAACCTTTGGAATCAAAATTTTTCGACGATTTCGGTCTTCGTATATCATTGGTACGGTTAAACTTCAGATTTGGCGTTGATCGCCACCCAATATCTGCAGCTGTCTTGCCAGCTAATTTTGGATGTACGGGGATATTTGGCTCAGATACACAGAGCCTGCGGTCCAGAAAACCTTTGGAATCAACATTTTTCGACGATTCCGGTCTTCGTATATCATTGGTACGGTTAAACTTCGGATTTGGCGTTGATCGCCATCCAATATCTGTCGATTTGGCTGAGGAATTTTCACACATCGCGGCCATGTTAGGCATAGATACACATCTATATGACATATTTATTTGATAATATTATATAGGCAGAATTAACGGAGAAGATTATACAGAAATACGTAGAAATGAAATTTATTCGTAATGAACACAAGAAATGAATATTGACTTGTGGTAACTATGTGACACAGATATGAATTGTAGATTTTTGAAACATTCACGTACATGGCCACGATATTTTAGTTGTTTGTGTTGTTTTCTTAGAGCCAATATTAATAATGTTAATGAAGTTGAGAATTTCATAATGCTTTACCAAGAATTTTCGAAAACTAATTGGATTCGTGTTGGTCAGCTTGACAATCCATCAAGGTAAGTAAAAATAGTTCTCATTATTTAATTAATATTAATGTATAAGACATTTTTTTTTTCAGAGTCATGTTTCATAAATATTGGGTACCTATGTCAGCACAGTAAGGTGACTTCATTAACATTATTAATATTGGCTCTAAGAATCGAGGTCTTTTCATTTATATTAGAAACTTCTTTTGATAGAACGCAATGATATTATTATTTTTTAAGAACTTAATGAATTCATCCATTATGAATACAATATAATTGATTATTCAGAAATGCAGAAACCGAGAACTACCACCAACGAGTTAAATGACCAAACAACCAGAGCTTAAAAATACCTAACTAGTGAAAATGCTAAGATGCTTGAAACACTAACAACTTAAAATTAAAAGTACAACTATAACGGAGATGTACAATTAAAGTTTAAATATGACAGCAAGTCAAAAATAAATTTAATATTCCTGTTGACAAATTAATAATAGCTGGTAGGTAGTCTGGTAGTCAATAAATAAACCATGTGACTATACTGTTATCAGTTTGATAAATTTAGATTATAATTTAGGAGCTATATCTACATATATTTTAGTGGCGACATCAATTAATTAATAATTAATAAACGAAGTAGGTACCAAGATGTAAATAAGATAAACTTCTGTTTAAATTTTTGATATTTAGGAAGTCATGTTGTATATTCAGAGCTCAACTGATGTGCCATGTGGTACCTGCAGCGATTGTTCCCAGCTTTTTCACCTCTAAATACTGTGCATAGACAGAAATTTAACATGCGCCTCGCATGGTCATCATAGTAAAAAAAATACTTAAAAATATATTGAATATGAAAAAAACATTAATTTAGGGCAATCAAATGCAAAATCCCATGGTAGAGGTCACTGAACATATAACATGTATTTTTCATTGTTTTTACATAGTTTTTTTTCATTCGAATTAATATTTTATGACTTCATTATGAAGTTTATACTGGAATGACATTAAATTATATTATGATTTGTGACTAGATATACTGTTATCAGTTTGATATATTTAGATTATAATTTATAATAAACTTAGTAGATGTAGAAGATAAACTTCCCTACATCCTAAAATAAACAAAATTTAATGTAATATAATAATAAATTGTTTAATCGTTTGCTAAAATAATTGGTAAATCTGAGTTCAAAATTGTTACCTCATCAAATTATAATAAAATTGAATGGTATATTTTATAATAATTGTCATTATAATCTATATAGGAACTTGTAACACCTATAAAGTATTATCGGGTAGGTCAAATTTTTGAATTTTGTTAGTAAATTTTTGTTATTTAGGGAGTCATCTTGTACATTCAGGACAATTAAATCAAATTCAGAGCCCAACTGACAGCATTTTAACATGCGAGGTGGTCATCATGGTAAAAAAAAATACTTTAAAATATGTTCACTCTTTTAAATGTTTGTACAATTTTTTTTTTTGTCTAATATTTATATACTTTCAATGATCGTGTAACCCCTACCTACCTCTGACTATGTAGGTAGACATGTATGTATTATTTTTTACCTACCTTAATATATTTTGTTTACTTAATACTTGCATAACATTTTAAAAAGGTTGAATTAGTTAAATTATAAATGTGTAAAAAAATATCATTTATAAACCACTGCTGATGTAGGTAGTAATGTAGTGTACCTACAAATGTAAAATTGAAAATAATAACAGGGCTTTTCAGTCATCGATTAACTAGACTACCAAACTAGACGTCCAAAATTGTTTTTGCACCATTCATGTGAAGTTACAACTATATTTCTTTAATTGGATACTAATTTATTTAGCTTCATAGTAGCTACCATTCCATATATTATTAAAATAATCATTGAACGCTAGTTCAATTCGTTCCTCCATAAATAGTTATGTCTTTATTAAAAATACAATATAATATATATATTAATGTTAGAGCATGAACTTTTAGTAAAGTACCTACCTATTTTAATTAAGAATCTTATGTCTTAGTAAAAATAAAACATTTAAGTAAGATTGGTATTTTGTTTCTATGTTAGGAAGAACCTAGACAATCTTTTTAGCTAACACAAAAGGTGTGTACAAGTACAATACACTTAGTCCAGTAAGAAATGTTCACTCTGAGATAGGTATAGCCGGTATAGGTACCTACTAAAGTAAAAAATAAAAATAACTGTGTAGGGATCACATTCTACATTAATTTATTGAATTAAAATAACATAATAATATTGTTTAATATTAGTTAGGTACCTTTTCCTACTAAATAGTTATTTTAATTTGTTTAAATTAAATAATATAATATAATATTTAAATTAATATTTTATTATTAAATTAAATTAAATTATTTGATAAATGATAAAAAAAAGCGGGCAATTTGAAATGGGCCAATGAGAACGTGGTATACATAAGACACTCTGTGGCGTCCTGGGTTTCCTAATACGCGTCCCGGACGAGCCCATACAATACCAGGTAAATTATTTCTTCATGTTTTTTTTTGCTTATTAACCCAAACAAATATTACGAAAATTACGAAAATTAACCCAAAATTATAATTATAAATTATAATAATATAAAACAATTTATGTTTTCTCGCAATCTTCATGAATTGTCTTATTGTAATATTGAGCAAATAATGATTTATGATACTATGTTTATAATAATAATATAAAATATTAAGTACAATTTAAACGAGTCGTAGTGTAGAAGTACACTACGACTCGTATAATATTAGTTACTACGTATAATATTAGTTATAAAAGTATGAAAACATACAATTTTACAATTTTATTTATATTATGTTGTATTTTTTCAAAATATTATTTATATAATTTTTTTTTGTATCTATTTAATCATTTAAAAGTTGTAACGGAGTCGCCGTGGGCGAATATCTGTCACTTTAAACAAAGTATAATACTCGGGTGATTTGGGGTAATAAACGTGTTTTATTTCCATGTAATGTTGATATACAAGGTATGGGGATGGTGGTTCACATCCCCGAGACCGTATGGTATGGCTCACGGCGTTGAGACCATCTTGACAAAGAGGGGAATGAGTTGGTTTATTTACAGTTCGGGAAGGTCCGGATCGCTCAAATAAGTGGCGTTGGTTTGTATTCCCGTACGGGTAGAGTGGCCTATCCAGGCGCGCTTGGGGGGACTTGTTTGTTTTTATGAGTCCTAAAACACTGGTTTGGTGGTAATCCGGCGGTCTTCGGAATCCCGTGAAACTGGATTGCTTGGCGTGGCTGGTTCAACCGTGTGATCGGCGACTCCTCCGCACTGTATGTAGTGGGGAGCGGCGTAGGACGGTTGGGTATTCGTATCGTCACTTCGGTCGTCGTAGCTGGTTCTCAGGTGGCGTCTTGGGGCTCGCTGGTATCGTCGGTCGGCTCCTATAGTTCTACTGATCCAGCGCGGCGGTTGGTGGTCTTCTCCGTTTTCAAGTGACAGCAGCTATGCACTTTGAATAGTCTTGATGTCTTGAAGGTTGGATAATTAATGATGATGATCGGTTGCTTTGCTTTGCTTTGTTTAGGTTTACTCTGTACCAAGCTTGCACTTCTTGCAGAGAGATTCAAGATTAGTGAAATAATTGTTTGCTGTTAGTTGTAAATGTTTATGCTAGGTTTAAGAGAAAGGTTTAGGAGAAGCATGACCCTTGTGGGACTCCAGCTTTGATATGTTTGGAGGTTGACAACCGGTCATCAACTTTGACAAGAAACGATCTTCCGGTTAGGAAAGATTTAATTAGTCGGATAAGACGATACTGATCTTTGCTTTGCTTTGGGGGGATGGCTGAGCCGTGAAAACTATACCAGGCTTTTGCCTCTACTAGTGGATGGATGTTTATGAAGGTGGTTATTAAAATTGTTGGCCAACCCATGTTAAAGGGTAGGGTTTGATTCTACGCTTTGTGATTGGAGCGGTGTGAGATTTACCTAAGAGTCGGATGTGGGCATGAATAGAGAAAGAGTTTTTGTAGAACATCGATTTGGATTGGCTATGAATAGAATTTTTGATAGATTTGAAATTTGCTGATTATAGAAGGACCGAGTATTTAACGATTGTGGGCATACCCGTTATCGTGCGAACGTCGATGTTTTGAACAGATTCGATACGTTTCCAATGTGAGGGACCGATAAAGGGTGCCCAAGAGGGACCAGTTTTACAGCCAAAAACGGTAATGACAGACACAAAAATTAAAAATTAAAAAAACACACATCGATGTAAAATCAATACATTATTCAGAATCTAAAATATCACGTAGATATAACAAAAACGAGATCCATTTGTCCACAACAGAGTTATCTCCTATTTTTAGACAAGTGACATCGTAAATTCCTAAACTAAAGTAGGTAATTAATATATAATTTTATTTGTACTATATTATATTTGGTATAACTTTTTTTACCACCCTTAAAAGTTTTTCCACCCCTGCCACCTGGACTAATTGCTCCTTTCCCCCCTTGATGCGCCACTGTTGCCAAAGCTTCTATAATTCTATGAAAAATAATATGAAACCATTATTAAATAGTTTTATTTAATAAGTCGTTATCGCCTCGGGTACACGCTGCCGACGCCAATTAATTCGGATGTAACTGTTACAAAGCCAAATACTATATATCTAAATACGTCAAAAGCGTTCATATATTATTTTCTTATCGTATATTATATTATAATATTGTTACGACAGTAAAAATAATAACAATTATGAAACAATATAGTTAGGTGTTATTATGATTTCCGTGTAATATTTTGCATACACCAAGTCAATACGGTGCAAAATTATGAAGGGGACATCATTGCAGAGACCAACTTCGTAAACATTTTTAAACGTTATACAATTGTTTGGGTATACTCAAAATAAAATATTTTAACTTATTGAATAACTGCGAAATAAATTCGACTGCAAATTGTTTATTGTTGAAATCATCTATACAAAATTAGCGTACATCCGTAAAAATATTTAAAAAAAACATTTGACCGATATTTACCTACTAAATCATCAACACGGTACACCATTAAGGCATTAATTGAAAATAAAATATTTAAATGCATGTTAAAAACGTGTGTAAATAATCATATGCTGACCCGAGGTCGAATAAAAATAAACAGAAACGGAATAATATTATACTCGAAGATTAAAAGCTTCGCTATATTATTAAAGGTTTTCATATTTATTCGTGAATACAATGCAAAGCGATGTTCATCTGGATATGATGATTTCAGCGAGACTTGGGCCAAACAATTCGTTCGATCCACGGCAAATACTTAGACACTCTCGTGTAAATTCCTGGCCAATCTTTCGTGGCGCACTGCTTACCGGCCGACGTAATGCCTATTTGCGTGTACATGCACGAGTAAGTGGAGTGCGCAAGTTGAAGTGGACCACCAGAATCACCCTGTGTGAAAAAATCGAGTTAAAACAGTTAAAAACGATTACTGTGAATACTACCAGTGGCGAATTTACGAGGGGTGGTAAAAGAGTACTGGACCAGGGAAAGGGGGGCCTCCAGGGCCAAATACACCGATATTTATATTTAAAAAATACACTCAATATTTTTCAGGTCCTTATACCTCCAGAAAAATGTTGAAAATCCGGCTATGAATACTGCAATATTAGGACTACTGTACACACGCATAAAGTACGTTGTACGTATATTTTTACGTTTCACAATAATCAATTATTTCCCTTGTAAGTGGGTGAAGGACATTAATCGTTAATTTCATCTTAAATAAATATCATAGTGACGAGATTATAGTGTGCATTGTCCGTTCAATCCAGTTTTTTTTTGGCAATAAAAGTAACGATTTTAAAGTGAGTTTGACAAAACAAAACAAATACAAAATACAAAAAAAAAATGAATAAAGACTTATCGATTGTTTTTAAATTAAAATATCGAAAGAGATCAATGGTAGAGCGTGTGGTGCATTTAACGTTATTGTTTACTTCATATAAATTTGATGCGAAATATACCCAAATTTAATCCGATATTAAGGCTGTGAAATTGAACAATTTTTACTCGTAAGATTTAAGCAATATTCTATATCTATATCGTGAGTGATGTGTAACTGTGTGTACTCTAGTGACTAGCTATACTAAAAGGGCGGCATAAACGTGTTAAAAAGTTAAATTTAAGTTAAAAAGTTAATTTTTTTTAACTTTTTAACATAACTAGTTAATGATTTTTGTTTTTAACTTATTAACTTATTTAGTTAAGATTTCTATTGTTGTAACTTAAATTTTTAAAATTAAGTATCATTGATGTGAAGTTAATTTAATTTAAATTCGTGTCATGCGGAACCAAACCAACTAGACAACACTGATTTGTTGACTCGATTTTGGTCATTTATTTTCTAATTATATATTATAATAATCTATTTGTTTACACAGTGAATCTTGGTAAATATTTGTGCATTTCAAAACACTAGGGCAATTTATGATTAAAAATATTATAACTTGAAAAAAATTATTTTTTTAACTGAGTTAAGTTTATTTTATTTTCTATCTTAACTTTCCACAGTTAATTATTTTTATTAACTTGCCAACCTTTGATTATACTGATAATTAGTGTGCATGAGTTCCCCGAATACTTTATGTATTAAAGATAAACCACGGCTGAGATTCTTGGCAATCAGTTACGTACATACGCACAGTCACACGTGACTATTATACTTGGTGTTCAAAAAAATTTTAACATGAGAATCCCATTAAAAGTATGTACATTTCACCCAATACCAATTTTAATTTTGAAAACAAATTTGAATTCCCTATTCTGTTTTCTACGTTATGTAATAAATGGATTCTTTATTTTTTTTTTCATTAGATTTAAGGATTCGATGACTGAGGTCATTAACCTGTAAGATTGGTAGGGATAGTAGGTTAGGTCCGGAGACTTACTCTCAATCATGCAGCGTGATTAATTTCAGCCACTGCGCAAAGCCGAGCCACCGTTTTTTTTTTTTAAATTCACCTTTACTTTAGTGTAAATAAAAAAAAATAAAAAATAACATAGAAAAGAGAATAAGGACTCAAATATATTTAAAAATTAAAATCAGACATTTTTTTTTAACTGGTTTTTTTTCTGAATCCACGAAAAGACGACTGAAAAATGCCCCTCTTTCAACAGCCTCAGATACAAAAAACGTGTTTGTAACTTTGTAGTGACTAGTGGTTCATGATTACATGGAACTGTGTATATATATACGTTATGCGTGTGTAGGGCTGCAAAGCAGTCCTCTTAAGAGGTCGCTACACGGACATTTATCCTCCCCGTCTTACAAGTGCGTAATACATATCAAATTTAAGCTCAATTTAGCTTCGTTATACTTTAAAAATTATACTCCGTTCCACGAGAGAGTGCGACAGAGCGGCGACCAATACGTGTTCATTTTCGCGCATCCCCACCACATTCCTGTCAATGTTGCCTACCGTCGGCATTTGTATACACTATAATATAAACTCAAAACTTGCTGAAAAATTGAACTATGGTTAAAAACTCGAATATACAATCACAGATAACGTTATTACCATCAAGTTTCGTAATAGGTCGACTCACAGAAATTTTTAAGTTAACAAAGCTAAACGTGATCTGCTGAGAGTAAATTGGCCATGTTACATATACTTTAAGGCAACAAAATATACCTCAGATACAAATTCTGAAATGCCCCTTAAAACCTTAGAGTGGACAAGAAACACAATATGCAACTTACACCACAGGTATCTTTTTCACCACTAGCATAGCCCGCGCATATCATGCTGTCTTCAACTATTCCGTGCATCAATTGTTTTTTACCAATCGACGCATAATTGGTCTTGCACAAGCTCGACGGGATGATGTCCAAAGTAACTCTTAACAGATCAGGACTTTTTGCTCCAGCTGTAAAACAGTTTACTTGTAATCATGCTTTTGTGACAATAATTCTAAAAATGAATAATCACGACTCACGATTCAGGGCCATATTAATTGTTTTAGTGACAGGAGCATGTATATGCAGTTTAAGACACCTCCTATTATATAATACCTATTATAATTTATAACAGTAAAAACATCTTGAATTTCTCAACGATGCTCCTCCCCCCATATTTATGCATACAGCCATATACCTCTTATGTACGGCCCTGGTCGATGTTCGTTTTAAGCTAATGATGGTAAACTAACCGTTTTCGATCTGTCCCCAACCAGTAGCTATCACAATCTTCGTGGGACCCGGCTGCCAGTTTTGATCTCCATTAAGACAAATGGGCCGTACGTACGACGAAAACAGCACGTCCTGGTCCAAATGGAACAACGCTATATCGTTGTACAAGGAAGGTTTCATATAATCCGGGTGCACTATACGTTGATCGATTTGGTAGTCCATCGGTCTAGCGTCGTCGGTTTCCGACAAATAGTTCAGATCTCCCACACGTGCCCAGCGCACGAGCGTTCTTCAATAACAATATAGGTAGTATGTTTTCAGAACACATGAATATTGATCAAAATTATAAACCTTTTTTGTAGTTTATATACTATAGTTTGTATACTATCCCGAAAGAGTGTAATGTTTAGTGACATATGCAAAATTTTATATATTTTTACTAACAAAACTATGTATTTTATTTCAACTCAACCAGTATATAGATGTGCCACATTTTGTATATTTTATGAAAATTTATTTAAAATGTATTCTTAGTTTAGATTAATATGTTTGTACATACTTTTTTTCAAATTAACTTTTAACTTAATAAGTTGCTTTTCTTTAAGATTAACGTATGAACTTCAAGTTAATTTTATTCAAAAGTATCTGAATTAAGTAAATTTTCGTCCAAAGATTAATGCACACTTTTGAATGAGGTTTTTATTTTAATCTATCATTTTAAATTTTCCCGGTTTTTTTTTTTTCAGCGCATAGAAAAGGTATCTGATAAACCATATTACGGGTCTGAAATTTTTTATTTTTGCAAATTAAAAAATTTTAACTTTTAACTTAATTAAAAAATATGAGTAACTTTTAACTTAACTTAATAATTTAATTATTTTAAGATAACTTAAATTAAGGAGTAAAAAAACACCGTTTACTTGCCCAGCCTTGGAATTTATTAGCCACCCTTTTAGTTAAGAGTCCCAAATTAAAAACATTTTGTGAAAGAATGGGGTGATCGCCAGAAAACCCACACTTGAGCAGCCCTTGCTCATACAATGTATAAGGATTATTTTTTCAGCCATGTCACTGGTCTTAAGAAGTGTAAATTTAATATTATAACATTTATCATATACTAACGTATTGTCTAGTCTTTCACAGTGTGCTGCGGACAGGATCCACCTATTGCTGATCAGTGATCCACCGCAGGCCCATGTTTCACTACTTGGATACCTGCTATAACCCAACAAAGCCTATACAATTATCAAATAAATTAGAAAACTATTAGTACATTCCTATAATCGTTGTGTTTCATATTATTATTTCTACATTACCATGTGTGGAAATTCTTTTGGTTCTGCCTTCGTGCCGTTAACGATTAAGGTTAAGGAATTCAGACAATCTTTAACTTCGATTAATACCTCATCCTCATAATCAAGTAATGCTGGATCCTTAATATATTTGTAAATCAACTTCGAATAATTGCTGCACACTTATTCAAAATTAAAAAAAAATTGCAGTATATTACTGCAATATGCCAATATTGAACAACATAATTTTTCAGATCAGCTAACTGCTGGTAAAATAAATGTCAAATTATAGTTACAATAAGTAGGTAACCACTTACTTTCAGCCGCCGAATATGATTCCATGTCTTTGGGTTGATCAACTGGCGGATTACTAGTGATATTGGTCACATCATCTGTAAGTGGACAATAAAAAATACAGAAACCAACGAGTAAGATGAGCAAAATTGCAGCGAAAAACATTTTTCTCATTTTGGTCCCCACTCATTCTATACTACGTATACACATTAGATAAGTCAATACATACTTAATTATAAGTAATTTCTACTATTATTATTATAATCCACAATCAATCGTAACTATTAATAAACAAAAAAAAAAACGTGTAAGTGTAGAGGGTGTAGAGTAGGTCAGCATTGGTGGAAGTTTGTCCATCGTCCTTTCGGTCTTTGGACACGATTATGCATTACAGTATTCGATTAGAATGCAACGATTTTAAGAGGACGAAAGAAAATTTAAAATTCATAAATATGTATTAATATGTAACCATTAATTGTATATAATATACCTAGTGGGAATTAGGTAACTTTTACATTTTATTTGTTTGTATATGGACATATGGTGATACACAAGCGTTTGAAAAAAAGGTTACAAAATTAATTGTCGGTGGTTTTACCCGTTGCGTTAAAAAACTGGGAGATTGTAAACTCGGCCCGAGGAAAAAACATTTCCAAAAGGTCGATGGTAAACTCGGCCCGGGTTTTTTTCAGGTCAAAATTATTTAAATGTAAAAACCATAATTTTTCTTATAATATTTTTGAGAAACATTTAGCATTACTCAGAGGACACCACGAGGAGGCGGTTCTCATTATCCTTCAAAAATTATTTTCATTTTCATATTATTATTCATAGTATGAAATTCGTTATTTAAATGAAAAATGTAATTAAAATGTTATAATATTGATAATAAAATAATAATAAATGTAATTATATAAATTTATAAGTGTAAAAATGTGTAAAAATATAATAAAAAATATATAAGTAAAATTGTAGTGTAAATAATGAGTGAAAAATTTTAGTATAATAATATACTATAAATCTAGTTTTTTAAGTAAAAAGCTATGTATTTTACATATTCACTCACTGATATTTCTTTATTTTTATATTTTGTAAGTGTTCTTTCTAAGAGTTCTTTTTTTTTTTAGTTTTTGTATTTTGGCATTTAAATGGTGCATCTAGGCTGTTGATTTTAATGTACGTTTCTGTTTGTACTTCTTTTAATTTTGAAATGACGGAATATATATTGGGGTGAGTGGAATTAAAACTTGAATTAAAATGCGCATGAAATGATTCACATGCATTGGTTGTTAAATACGTTTCAACTGATGCACTGGCCCACATTTCAGGCGGAAACATAGAATCTGACACCTGACATTTTCGGGCCGAGTTTACAATCGATTTATTTTACTACCTGAAATTTCCGGGCCGAGATTACAATCTACCTATTTATATTACCTAAAATTGTCGGGCCGAGCTTACAACAAAAAAGGTAACTTCCGGCCCAGTTTACATTTGCCTAAAAAGCTATTCATAAAATCGAAAAATGACCTCTCTAAATTACAATCTTGATCCACATTTCTAAAATATAAGGTATTATAATATGTTGAAATCGAAGCACTCCTTCTGGTAAGAATTTTGTTAATAGTATAAAAGAAAATAAACATCATTGTAAAACCACTAGTTTCCTTGCTCCTCTCAAAATATAAAAAATGACACCGTAATAACGGGCTCATGTAAATTCCGCCCGAAATTAATTACAGGTAAATTAAAGTACATGTAAATTACACCTGAAAAAACCGGCGGAGTACGATTGCGCGCGTTTTACCTTTTTAGGTATACGATTGCGCGCAGTGCCCGAATAACAAAAGACAACATTTTAATTACTCAAAGGCGTACGATTGCGCGTGAAATTGGGTGCGACGTTGCCAAATGTATTACGTAAATAATAAAAATACAAAAAGTTAATAATATAAAAAAATGTTATTTAAAAAAAAATTAAAAAATTAAAGTAAATAATAAAAAATAAAAAAAGTTAAAAAAAAATAATACAAAATAAAGAAATTTAATAATTGAAAAAATATAATACTCGTAAATCAATATTTATATTAAATTTTAAACCCCCGATACCTATTTCCAACTATGGCCAAATACTTTAGTAAATTTTCTGGGGTTTTATTGTTTACATAATGTTTGTGTTCATTTTTCAATTTTCCTTGATTCTTCATTCGACTTTGGTTTTATTATACCTTTGAAAATGGTTAATAATTTGGTAACTGTTTCTGCCTGAGGTTCCATAAGGGTAGCTATAACGACAAATATTGGTGGATGAGCACTATTAAACTGTGCATTATATGTACTATGGAAACTTTCAGCCCCGTTTGTAGTCCTAAAAATAAATAATATAATATTATAGTTAACACATTTTTTTTAAAACTATTATTAGAACCGAACACAACTGATAGTTAATTGATATAGTCACATCATGCACGATTATAGTATAGGTATATTCGTACATGTATGGACATTTACAATAAAGATAATATTTTTGATAATATAACCAATTCATTCTTAGTGATGGGAAGTTTGTCTGATATCAGCAAAAATAAGTAATAAATAATCTACTATAATCTACTATGGTATCCTACGGATTTACCATGGACCTATATATTTGGCAACGTTGCTTAAAAGTTAAAATAATATAGCGCGCGCAATCGTACGCTTAAAAAGGTACCGCTGATAAGGACCGCGCGCAATCGTATCGCGCCCGAAAAAACAACATTTGAAAAAAGCCAATAAAAGGTACATGTAAATGCCAACGGAAAAAAATTAAAATTGATAAACACCCTAGTATAAGAAGTTCTTATTACTTAATGAAGTTTAAAAGTTTAAAGAAAGTTTTTTTGTATACTTCAAAACCATGTACTTTTTGGGCATTTATAATATTATTCATATTAATAATATTATGAGTCATAACATATATACATCATCATAAGTATTTAAATGAGTTTATAATTCACATATCAAGTCAATAACTACCTCACAATTATATAAGTCATATAAATAATAAAAATCGTAATGATTATAACGATAAAGATGAGTCAAAATATAATCATATAAAATTCTAAAATAATTTTTTTTAAATCAATCATTTCAAATGACTTTAAAAATATTTATTTTTTATTGATGGAATTTACAAATTAATTTTTGTACCTGTATATTTTTAGGGCAGTATTTACATGTAACTTTTTTTACCTGAATATTTTCAATGGTGGAATTTACCATAGACCTTATTTTTACCTGTTCACTTCGGGCGGAATTTACAATCCCCCGTTATATAACACATCCACGTGGCATCGGACATGTTGTCCTTTTGCTCGACCCATAAGGACCGTATAGGGATGTTATGCTTAAGAATTTTGATATCTAGTGCAAAAATCATTTTTCAAATCCTACTGGTCCCTAGTTCCAGAGATTGAATCGAGCATACATCTATGTGTATTAATATAGAATATAGATATAGATACATACATAATGGTATAATATTTTTCATATTATATTCAGGAAAAAATTTAAAAAAGTTAAAAAATCAGTTCCTCCTCCGGTTCTCATGCTAAGTTAAAAAAAAAACCGGGTAAATTAAATTTGCTTTGCTGTACAGTAGGAACAAGTGGGTCACTGTTATGGATGATGTGAAATTTAAATTCAATGATAAAAAATCATTGTATACGAAAAACGATATTAAACGAAGACAGTCTGTCAGCCAAAGGTGGGATTGTTTAAAAGTTAATGTTAAGTTAAAAAATTAAAACATGGTACTGCCAAAATTTCGAAAATCTTATGGAAAAATGTGATTAATTCGATTTTGCAGTCAGAAATAAATTATATCGATTACTTTTGTGAATAAAATCAATTTTAAAACTGATGTTCAGTGCATAATGTGATATTGCCACATTTAATGTCAATGCAAAACGTGGTAAATCATGTTCAAGTCAAAACGTATTATTGCCTAATGCATATATTATTTGAATTAGGGCATACTTGTTATCATTCCAAAACGTGGTATTGCCAATATTTAATTTTTCTTCAAAACGTGGTATTGCCGGCAATAATGCGTTTTGCATCAACAAAAATAGGAACAACTTCAAAACGTGCTATTTCCATTACCTTTTCAAAACCTGCAATACCATGTTTTGGCCTGTAAACACTCTTTTAAAGTATTAAATTTAAGTTTTAAACTCAAAATAGATTTATTTTGACACCACCAATCCTTTTTTTTCATTTTTAAATTTCATTACACCAATTACAAGTATTAATTCATGTCATAGCACGTGATATAATTTTTCTTAATTTGTGAACATTTTTATTTTTGGCAATACCATGGTTTTGATTTTCGCCCTTCAATTTGTAATTAGATAAAAGTACTTGAAATACTTACAAAAAAATTCTGCCCATGAGTTTTCATTATTTTTCAACTACTATTATTATTTATAACTATACTTAAGAGGAACCTTGTATTACATTTTCAAGCTTTTTGACACAACATCAATTAATGTTGGTTCCTTTATATATTTATAAATTAACTGCAAATACTTGCTACACCTTTATTCACAATAAAAAAAAAATTGCAGTATATTATTGCAATAACTAATTTTATAACTTTTTTGGATCAGCTATGGTTGCAAATATAACAAATTATAGTTACAATATATAAAAACTTTCAGCCATAAACACAATAGCACTCAGCAGTATTTTGAACTGAATCATGTTTTCTTTTGCTTCGATAATTTACTTGGAAAACCCTATTATGATGTAGCAATATTATATATAGTATTATAATATCAGTTATCACAATATATTATGTGAATACAATATTGAAATCGGCCCTCACACATTAGGTGTACTATGACGAACAGTAATAAAAATATAAAATACAAATAAAAAAAGGCGGGTAAGTGGATTTCGCTCTGCTGTACAGTAGCTTACAAGTGGGTCATTGTATAATGAATTGTATTAAATTTGAATTCAATGATATAATATCATTGTATAAGAAAAACGATTCTGATGAGCGAAGACGATTTGTCAGTGTGGATATTTTATATTGTTATTATTTATTATA